GTGTGTGTGTGTGTGTGTGTGTGTGTGTGTGTGTGTGTGTGTGTGTGAGAGAGATTATTATCCAGACAGAGACGAAGAACGGCTTCAAGTTTATCGAGCGGTTGACTCTCGGCGTTACCCGCTCCTCCATCGTGCCGGTTCAGTAGACCTCATTAGGAACGCAGCTCATTAGCTCCTTACACTCTGTAAAGTTTAGTGGTTGCAACTTGGTCAACTGTTTGATCGGCCGGGTAAGATCACATGTACTCGGAGCAAAAATATGGAGGCTCTGTAATTGTTACCAGCCGTGTCTTGTTAAGCGAACCTCCCTGACATAACTGTGTTGATTTTTGACTTGCAAATACTGTAAACTTTTACTGCAGGGGCAGTAATGTTGATAGACGTCAGAGGTGTAAACCTGCTAGATTAGGGATAGTGAGGCTGCAATTACCGGATCATTTTTTTTGCCTGTTAAGTGAAGTTCTTTGTTCACTGACTGATGAATGGATTGAACAGGCCAGCGTTTCCGTTCGAAACACACACACACACACATAGTTTGTCATACTACAGGAAATACAAATGCATACAGTTGAAGTTATTCTATGGGTGTGCGCACAAAGCTGCAGGGCTCTGTGGTGAAGGGTTCATTATAGCTCTCGCTGCGTGAATATTGAATTGTTTCTTTTGAAATATTGCATGTGTGTCAAGATTTTATTGAGTTATGCTGTATATGGAAACATCTGTTGGTGTGTGTTTGTGTGTGTACATGTGAGAGACATGAGTTTCTACTAAAGTAAGCACTTTTGTTTGTTAGTGATGTGTTGCATGATGTACTTTTACCACACCACGCTGCATCAAGACGGAAAGCTATGCATTTAAGGTGCACACACACACACACACACACACACACACACACACACACACACACACACACACACCTACACACTCACTGACAATTTGTTTAGGACTGCTTCGCTTTTTTTTTTTTTTTCCCCCCTCCGTCATCAGATATACAACTGCTGTGTTATCCTTCTACACCTGTGTCACCACACACTGAAGCACTCTTCTACTGTTTCCTCTCTCTTTTTCACACACACTCATGCTCGTTATTTCTTTTCTTTTTTTCTTTACTGTCAACAGTTTTCATTGTTTGCCGTTTCTGCCGGAAAAAATTGTAAAATTGTCCACAGTGAGGTTTCTGACAGAAGAAGTTTTACAAATGTAATTTGAAACAAAAGGGTATGTCACTGTAATGGTATATTGGCACGGTGCCAGACGTCTTTAATGGAGAATTTTTCCAAATCTCCTCAAATAAAACTAATACATAATACATATTAGCTATAGTAATCGCTAAGTGGGAAAATGTTTTCTTTTTGGTGAACTAACCCTTTAAGGGAGGTTCGTCGGCTTACTTTGTGTTCTTGCTCATGTGTGCGTGATGGTATGAGTTTGTGCTTGTTTTGAAACTGCCTTTAATTCTGTATTTAAACAGAGTTTGGATGTTTCTTTATGGATGTCTGTTATTCCAGTGTGCATAGTGCAAGTCTGAGTATATGGTACTGGGTACGTAAATATGAGGCCTTTTAAGCACATGTGTGCGGACATGTGTGCATTCATGCATGTTTGTGTGTGTATGTTTTTCATTATGTGCTACGCTGGCTTTGCTCGGCGATGCTGTTCAGCGGGGCGGATTGCTTTGAGCTGCTTGATGCTTTTAGCTGTGGTCTGTGTTTGTGTGTGTGTCCGACTGTCCATGCAAGTGTGTGTGCTTGCATGCCTTCAACCATGTGTGCACGCACGCTCGCATGTGCGTGTGCGCGTTGCGGTATTGTCATCTTTGATGTGCTTGTACGAGTTGGTGGAGTTTTATAAAGCTGAGGAATGTTGAGTAGACAATTCAGTCAGGCCCACAAGCAAGTTTGACTCGCATGCTACACGCGCACACACACACACACGCACACCCACACACACGTGTTACTAAAACATTCAAGAGTTTATATCTGTGATGTAGTGCCCCACAAATGAGTTGTGCTCCTCTGAGGCAGTGAATCCCCGTCCGTTTTTCTTCTTCTTTTATGTCAGTAGATCTCTTTATCTATTTCTGTTCTTTCTGTCGTCCTCTCACCGTCTGTCTCTGCGTGTCGTCCTGAATTCACAGTGGAACCTGGTTCATGTCATTGTTCACACGTAAGCTACCTGTTGACCTATTTGAGCAAAGATGGGTCAACAGGTAGTTCATCGTGTGTCTGATGATCTCATCTTCACACAACTCTACAGCAGAGTGTACCGCTATTAGTTGGTCTCTCTCACACACACTAACACACACTAAGGTTTCATTCTGTATGTGCGTGTGTGACCACAACAAATACCCATTCATCATTCTGTACAGAGGGCATTAAACCTCTGCCCCTCACACACACGCACACAGCAGGTTTTCCTACTTTGTCCCCCACATCCCAAACAACAATTAATTCGAATTAATTTCCAATTAGGGCTTATTAATTATGGCGAAAAAGATTAATAAAGGAGGTGTCACCAGCTGCCATGGCAATTAATGACTTAATTTGTTGGTTTGCTGATGATGGACTTGTTTAAAGGTCGGCGAATCAATCAAAAATCAATGTGACAGGTGTGTGTGTGTGTGTGTGTGTGTTTGTGTCTGTGTATCATGCCCTGTATGTATCGTGTTCTGTATGTTTTTCTTAGTCTTTTCACATTCTTGTGTAAGTTCTTTGTAACTAGTATCAAATTGAGGCAGCAGGCTGGTTTGTTTTCGAGTCGGCCACCACCACTCAACTTTTCACTCAATGTTGAGAAGTTTATCCAAGTAGTACAATTTTCCCAGCCCAACAGCGGCTTTACTTAGTCCAGACTCGTGCCAAATTCATATCGAATGGCTTAATCTTCGTCCACGTATTATTTATGCCTACTCTGAATCTTTGGCCACGTCCATGGGGCGCAAGTGTCCCAAAGCTAGCCCCGGTACTGCTAACTGGAGCACATTCTGAGCCCAGATCGTCTCCAAGTTTGCACTCGCATAATCGTGTCAAAGCTGGCAGCCATGAATGGACCGGGCCTGCTTTATATTTGGATGGAAAAGTCAACCGAGTGTTGGGCTGATTGCGCTGACACACGGCACTGTCGACACAACTTGTCTCCTGATTAATGTGTAATGTCGCAGTAGCTCGTTAGCCAATGTTAGCCTCCAGCTGGCTCATATCATCGCCTGATTAAGTTATTGCACTACACTGATGCAGTAAAAAAGGGCATATACCATACAATTCACCTCCAGATCCAGAGTGAACAGAGAATAGAAAGATAATTGCTAAAAAAAAGTAGTACATACATTTGATTTAAACACAAAACATTAACTGTGTCTTTTATGGAGAAGTTTCTCTGTTGCATGCTGACAGCTGACTCAACCCAAACTGTGGGAAATGCAAAATCAGATATTAATCCTGAGCACTGCGTACCTTTTTTGAGCCTGCCATCATGGCAAGAGGAATCGTTTTATTGAGTCTTCACTCTCTCCTCCGATCCACCTGTTAGTGCAGTTTGTCTGTATGGACAACTTCACACAGTCAAAACTGGCATTTGCCGGCTGCTTAATGTTTCACCGCTGTTTCGAGGCGGCCGTTTTTTTTTACTGTGCAGTTTTTCTGGGGGAAATGAAAACAATCCAATAATCAGATAAAGAACAGTAACTAGACAAAGCAGGAGTAATGGACCCAACCTAGGTTTCAGAGCTTCAACCCATTTATCTTCGTCTGTGTCTGTTTCTGCATTCGCAGCAGAGTTGGGGTTAAAATCCATTAATCCGATTAGGTTAGCAACTGACCACATAGCTAAAAGGTGACCAGACCTCAACTATTGGTACAGTATTTCAGTGTTCTTGTGCCACAGGATTACTGTGCACTCCAAGCCTGTTCACTCTGTGCTTCTGAGGCGTAGGATTCTTTTGTATGTAAGTCTACAGACCCGTCTGTGTATGTGGGTCTAAGTGAGACTCCACGGTTAAGTAATGCTGAAAACTGGTTAGGTGTTGTACCACATTAGCACTCAAACCCTCGCTTTATCAAAAGCTTTCTCCCTACATTAGTCCGTGTGCATGTTTCTGTGTGTGCTTTCCAAGCCATTAGACC